ACCCTGTTACAAACTACCCTGGTTTAGCCTTGTGTGATGTTCAGCTGTCCACTTGGCCATTCTCTAGTCTGATTTTCAGGTTCAACTATGACAAGCAGACTCATTCTATTCTTTCAAGAGTCTCCTCAAATGTTGAGCTGATTTTGATCACATAGTTCAGATCTGTAAATTAAGGCAGACAACAGCTTGATCCATCAAATGCATGAAGATAAGGTAGCAGAGGGATCTCAAAGCCCAGACGGTATTCTTGTGTATTTGCAAAGACCTCTGGTGACCACTCAGAATGCTGTCTTTTCAATGTCCTGTATAGCGATGAGTAGCTGCTTATAACATTAGGCCAAATCAATATAGCAGAAATACTCTGCATCTTTAAGAACTTGCAAAGCTTTCTCAATCCTAGGCACAGAGTAATCATCCTTATACATCTTTGCTAGCATGTCAGATAACGACACAGATCCTTAGTTTTCCGTCTTTCTTCCAGACCAAACACCATGGCAAGACATTGAATTTGAAGACTATTGGATGGCATCTCACTCGAAAGACTTTTGAATGTAGTCCCAGTCTTTCTCCCAGTGAAGAGGTTATATCCCATGGTATGGAATACTTAATACAGCTGGATACTGTGGATGCTAGATATCTGGCCAGTTCTGAAGAAGTCATACTGGATATGAAATGTCTATTTTGCATGTCTCTTCACTACTTGACTTGCTAAGTTTCTCCAACTGTTTGGTTTTATTTTAGGTATGGAATTGTTACTGGATGGTCATTTCAGCAGATCAAAATACTCAATGTCGTATTTAGTTTTACTAAAAGTCATCCCATACTTGGTGACAGAAGTAATAAGCTACCTCCTCAGGGCCTCCTCAAACTCACCAACGTCCATCTTTGAAATGAGATTAGAGATATTTCCTGCAGTGGGTCCACTGTCCATGACAGTGGCAGGTTTAAGGATACCTTTGAGTTTTCTTGATAGCTTGTAATTAGAGTCATAGAGATGTTGTCACTGGAATTGGAAATCTGCACCTTCCCCTTTCTCCCACAGTGATGAGGTGGAACAGGCTTTGTTCACGTTCAACTATGACAAGCAGACTCATTCTATTCTTTCAAGAGTCTCCTCAAATGTTGAGCTGATTTTGATCAGACAGAGTCACAACTAGTGGAAGCTTTGCTATGTGAGAAATGTAACACTCCAGCAAAGCCTGATGTTGACCATTTGGAAAGGGCTGGCATGAGCCTTCTAGAACAGTGATGGTGCGGGTGGGTGACAGAGCAGCCAGATTTCCTGCTTTTCAAACAGTTCTCATGTTCTGTACAGATTGATACACCTGGAGTGTACAGAGCAAGGTCAAAGACTCCTCAGTCCCATTTGCTGAGCTCGTAACGTGTTGCTAGTAGCAATCACCATTTATGCTTTCCAAGGATGTCTGGATCTCTCACAACATATTTGGCTCCAATACCACAGGTATGCTCAAATTCATTCTTACCACTCAAACATCTGCTGCAGATTTCTTTGACCATCTTGACCTTATCCCAACGTTTCCCAATGGCTTTCCCAAACAGATACTCTATTGTGAATTCCATCTCCTCTCACTCCGAGGCAACTGGACACCATTACCAGCTGGGCATCTTCAATCCAGTCTTCAACCATTAGATCATTGGGTGTATCAGGAGTTCCTTAAATCTGTTCGGTTTCTTACCTGTTGTCAAATATAAGAAGCAGCTTCCTTTCTTCATACTATGAAACAAATGAAGCAGGGGAATTTCTGCTGGTTTTGTCTAAAGATCCTTTATCTCCTGCCAATTCCCAAGCGTCCAATGATACCTGAGCACCGTTGACCTTCTGGGAGGACACAACCCATTTCAAGTCTTCCACCATCTGCTCCATCTAGGCTAGGAGCCTTTCAACCTTAGCTGCCAGGACCAGTTGCCTGTGCTGTGGAAATGTAATTGCATGGTTGGTTCGTAGATCATGATTAAAGAGATTTTTATTCCAGTGACAGCAAGTTTCACAAACATGAAAGAAAATTAAAATTAAATAAGAAAACCAAAGTATTTACATGGAATTAAGCCTGTAGTTCACAACTGGCTGAGGAGATCCTTTGCCTGGCTTTCCCTCTCTCCACAAGATCTCTTTTGGACAAAGATACCCTTTCCTCCAGAGAGGTTCACTCAACTGCTTGAGCTCCCTGATTTACTCCAACCAAAGCAATTCAACTACCTTAACATCCAGTTAGTGTGTTGCCACAGGCAATGTATCACGCAGGTCAAAGCCTGGTATTTTGGGTGCAGACTTCATTCTGCTGCATCATTTCCATCTGAGCCAGCACGACAAACCAGTGGATTCCAGTGCACAACACATGAACATGTTGGCCTTGGGAGGATGCAAATAATGTAAGCTGTACTTCCATGCAAGATGTGATGCAGCAAACTGTCGAGGTGCTTAAAAGATGTATTCACTGTCTGGACTGCTTTGCAGGCAGTATGTAGCATACTGCACACCCTTGCCATCATGAGAGCACAGTCCTACCACTAGCTACACAATGAACAATGAAGGAAAATGACCAGGAGGAAGGGAGGAGACAATCAGTAGTTCCTTTCTGGCTGGGTTTTGTGTAATCATCTCAGTTGACAACTGTACCTTGAAACACAACTTTACTACTCATACACCACAAGACCGACATCTTATCTTCCCTCTATCACTGACCATCAGTGTTCTTTTGACTGCAATGCAATAAATGTTCTGAACAAAATTGTAAATCAATCATGTTATATTGTAGACAATCATCAACTCCTCTGCTGCATGCATTTTGTTTCTGCTGTTTCATCCCACACAAGCTGATAGCTTTTAAAGGTGCAGACTGCAGTTGCTTTTGGAGAATGACCTCTAGCAACTCAAACCTTTGAAGGCCTAGCTTCAGACTTCATCACCTTTACATGTTTTGTTGTATGTCTGATTGGCTGGCAATAGTGAGGGCATTGGTGAAAAGGCAATGGTGTCATCCTGAGAGAGGATAGCACATTGATGCTTCATGTCCATTCTGAGACAGCCTCTCCAAAATCCTAGGAGGGCATAGGACAGATTGCTGGTTGCTGTGACAGCCCGCAATTCTCTTTGAACACTGAGACTGGTGATACCAGCGATCTGAGATTGCATGGCAACAAGCTAAATTTACCTGACAGAAGTCTATACTTGTATAACAGCATAGTTGCTTGTGTAACTTCAGCCTCGAGTTTCCACTGCCACACCCAAAGGTGGAGTGGCTTTCACATGCTGCAGCGTAAGCTGATTCATTTGCAATTAGATGCTGCAAATTGTTGGGATCTGCAAGTGTGCTAATGGAGTAGAGCGCGACTTCAACGAAGGAGAGGACAGGCTAGATGCTCTGCACAATGCTTTGTGTCAAATTGTTGCTGGACTTCTTCATACTCGTTAAAACTGATCGTAGGCTTTCCAGCAGACCGGCCAATGCACCAAGCATCTAACTGTGCTTATCGGCCTGCAAACAGCTTATCAAAGTCATCAGTTGAAACTGCTGCAGCAGAACCCATGCCAATTTTGTCCTCTGGTAAACTGGCACATGTATGATGAGTTCACCAACCATGGCTCTGACCCAGTCATGCCTGGAGTCTCACAAATCCCACCTACAAGTCCAATGTCAATATCTGAGCTAGGAATTGCCAGTATGAAAACGAGTGATAACGTTTTTCTTCATCACTGTCTTTCTGCTGTCCCTGACTGGCGAGATTGCAGTTTTTCATTAACTGAAGGTGAAAGGTACAAAGGTAGGTTGTAAAATGAGGTGTAGTGGAATCTAAGCGTGAGGATGATCTGAAACAAAGTTTCCATTATTATTGATGATTTCAGCCCCAGTGATTGTTACTTCCTCAGTTTTGGTTGTTTGTGTGACAGTGACTGATGCATCCTTCATTGTTACAAGGAAGTGCAGTATTGCCAGTTTGGTGTTATTGCCTATAGTCCTGCGGTACCTTGACAGGGAAGTGCATCAGTGAGTATGGTGCAAAATGACATGGACATGGTTAAACAGCTGACAGTGTTCAAGCTGTGATATCTGGGTGTGAAACTTACAACATTTTAAGGGTGGAATGAAGGTGTGAATGATAGGTATGAATTATGGTTGGTAGAGATTCTGTGTAGGTGAATGATGTGTGTATGGAACATTTAGCAGTTTCTAAGGCAAGCAGTGCAGCAATATATTATTTCACGATGCATTCACTGACCTTTGATGATTCATATTAGACTTTTGAACCTCTATGGAACTAAATCCATATCCTGGATGCTAGACACTTGACATTGGCTGCCACAGCTATATAAGCAGCTGGTTAGAGTTTTCTTTCTGAGCCTCCTATTCTTCTGTGGACAAATGATATTTCTCTCTTTCTCCCTCTCTTTGACATCACTTACAGTCTCCAGTTCAGCTTCAGAAAATCTTTAAACAACTCTTTCTCACGGTTTGTCAATCTTCTATCTTTCCCAGGTCATAAGCAGTTGTGAATGGCTTCCAACACCAACTGCAGCCATGAAACACTTCCCCTTTAAGATCTACAGAACCACTTTAAGTAGTGCAGGCTAGCCTTAGCTCGTTAGTTTCTTAAAACTTGAACCCTCAGATCAGGTGTACAGCCACTCAACAGCATATTAGTGTTGGCTACATGGCCAAATTATTTAAATTAGCAGGCAACACAAAGTTTGTGTGTAGCCTCTATCAGAATTATTGAGGATGAGATAATGCCACATCATGATATTCACACCCATTTCTGGCCCTGTCCAATTTCATGGCCATCATTCTGTGGATGGCGAATTAGTGACCAGTAGTTTGTTGCTTGGCCTCAAACTTCCAATGAGAGGGAACCCAAATCCTCTGTTTGATGAATATTAATTGCAATGGTGAAGCTACAAAACTAATAATACAGGATAATTCTGAATGGTTAACCAGACAGATATGAGATTGTGACAAATTGAAGCAGAAAAAGGAGAATACCTGGTTGTTCTAAAGGAAGAGATGACAGAAAAAAAAAGAGAAACAGTTCAGAGAAATAGAAGGGAGGAAATATTACAGTTGTGACTAAAACAGCATAGAATGGAAGGTTAGCAGGAAGAAAGTTTAACAAGTCAATAAAATTAATAGAAGCTTATTGGAAAACATCTGCAACACAGGATTACAATCAACAAACATACACTTAAAGCATTTTTAACTAATACATTTAAAAAACTGTTCATCAGCCCTATCATTCTCTTATACTGTAGCAAACACACATTGTTCAAATATATCAGGGATATATTTGCTTTCAATTCTAATCATTCAAAACAAATAATAGAAAATGTGTCATTGTTGTTTCAGCACAAAAAAATGCCCGATTGAGATTGTCTTGAATAAAGAAATGTTTCTTAAAGGCAGTCACAGGTTATAGATTTTGTCATTCAACTACATGTTTTGCATATACACGGGAGTGCTTTTCAATATAACAAAAAAATTCAAAACAATAGTATAAATCAAAGTTGAGCCAGTAATGTAGCTTTGGATTGCAATGAAGCCAAAAGGTGCAAGAGATTATAACTTCATTCCTTGAAAACCTACCAAGTGATCGACTGGCTGCTCACCCACTGGGGCAGGTGTTCCATGGACCACCCCACCAATCTCCAAATCCAATGCATCATTCTCCAACATTTCCGCCAGCTATGATCAGACCCAACCACCAAAAAGGTATTTCCTTCCCCAGCCCTGTCCAATTTCCACAGGGTCTATTCATTCCGTGACTCCATTATCAGCTCTACACTCCCCACCAACTTCTCCACCACACCTGGTACCTTTCTCTGCAACCACAAGAGGTGCAATATCTACCCCTACACCTCCCCTCTCGCCTCAGTCCAAGGCCCCAAACAATCATTCTAGATCTGGCAGAGATTCACCTGCACTTCATCCAACCTGATTTATTGTCCGTTGCTCCCGATGTGGTCTCCTCTATATCAGGAGACCAAATGCAGACTCAGGGACTGGTTTGTGGAGCATGTGCGCTTTGCACACACTAACCAACCCGACCTTCCAGTTGCCACCCATTTTAAGACCCCGTCCCATTCCCCTGGCGACATGTCCATCCTTGGCCTCCTCCACTGTCAGAGTGAGGCCAAATGTAAACTCGAGGAACAACACCTGATATTTCACCTTGGGAGCTTACAGGGCAATGGCCTCAATATTGACTTCACCAGCTTCAAAATCCCTAGCCTTATACCAAGTCCAGCCCTCCCCCTCCTCTTCGCCTCCCTGATCTGACCCAACATATTCATCTTCCTACTCACCTATCCACTCCACCCTTCCCATGGACCAATCATAATAACCCCCACCTGCATTCACCTATCACCATCCTACCTACCCTTCACCCAGCCCCACCCCTTCCCTTTATTTATTTCTGGGCTGGCCTCCCCCTCCCCAGTCCTGACGAAGGGTTTCAGTTCAAAACATTGACTTTCCTGCTCCTTGGATGCTGTCTGACTTGTTCTGCTTTTCCAGCTTCACATCTACTGACTCTGGCTTCCAGCATCTGCAGTCCTTACTGTCTCCAGGACCATATGGAGTGCCAGATGTAACAGAGCGTAACTAAAACTTAGACAAATAAAAACTGTATTCAGCTCTTGGCTTGCTATTAACCAGAGCCATCAACTTAGCACTCAGCCCGCCCCCAACTACATCTTTACCGACACTTACATTCCCAGTCCTGGACAAGCACACCTGCTCCCCCAAGCCCAACTGACCCAACCCTGCCAACCCAATGCATTTCCACAAACTGGTAGCACAGAAAAACCCTTCACCCACCCACCACTCACCTTGGTCATTGGGCAGAACATCCCTCTCACCTGTTGGCCCTGACACACACCACCTCCTCACACCCCTTCTCTGCTGGCTCCAACAACCACCTTGCAAGCTGAATCCTAACCAACACCAAGCACTTAATCATTTACCTGGATTCCCACTCATCTGGCAAACTGGAACCTGAGACACTTGTCACACCAGCACTTAAAGAACTGCAGTCCTAACCCCACACTTACCTTATGTACCTACCAAGGTTTGACCTCCCCCAGGTATCCTGCACTACAGAGTTGGTGTGCTGATTTCACATACACTGCACACTTTTAAAGTAACTGGGATAAGAATTCCTGGCTAGAAATGCAGAACTCCGTAATAATAGGAAACAAATAAGGGCAGAGCACTAATCTAACTGATTGCTACTCCTTGGAATATCCAGACTATTATATCAATATCAGTATCAGATTTAAACACTTTGCTAGCTGGTTTTCTATGACTGAAGATAACCATCCCTCTATAATAGGAGTACAAAACAAAAATTAATAACTAGCAAAAAGTCATTAATCATATCTTAAAAGTATTTTTTCAAGTGAAGAAAAATCACAACGCACTATGTAGCCACAGGTAAATGGGTGTGACTTTTGTTTAATTATAAATATATTTCAATAATCCAATTCATACATATGTTTAGGAATGGATATTATTCACTGAAATGAAGCTATAAATGCTTTAGTTATTCATAATATTTTAACCCTTTTCTCATTTTTGATCCGATGACAGCTGCCTAAAGAGAATTGCTTTAAATAAGAACACTTTCTACCAATAAACCCTATCAGTGTTTTACATTTTTTTTGTAGAAAACCGTAACTGCTTTTATAAGTCCTAATGAACCAAACTGTTATTCATTTTATTGCTTTTTCAAATACTTATTTAACAAAAGACTAAAGAAAAGCAGAAAGCACTGATAATTCAGTTCAGGGCGAAGTTACTAACCGTTCCATCTGAATGAACACTAGACTAGTTAAACACACTCGTGAACACAAAACATGTTGAGTCTTCAGAGTACTAATGTGTTACATTAATTATATTTATCAAACTTAAAATAATTTTGGATACATTTTCTTTTGTTAATGTCTAAATTATCCATAGCACAGAGTCAGTAGCACACATGCTTCATTTCAAAGGAAAATTTCATACAGATTCTATAATTCTATGAAAACTCTATTAAAAAAGTTTAGAAATTCTAATTTAGATGTTGAATTGTGATTACCTTGATGGCAAAGAAAACAAGCTCTTTCATGAATTCTAATAGATTCTCTCATTGCGTCAATAAATGAGTATTCAATAAAAATTAGGAAAAGAAATAAAAACTGGCTCTGCTTCAGTATGTATCACAGCAGTGAGACAAAAGATGTATTGGCATTACCAAAATGTAACCAAATATTAGAAATATCTTTGTTATTATATGCCAGAGAACAGTTGAATGACATCAATGGCAGAGAAGAGTATTTATCAGTTAATGGTGTTTCACGTACTCAACAAATGATGAGAAAGCCTTCTAAATTTTGAGCTCTGCACACAATACCATCCTGAAAAAAAATGGTAATGTTTGGGTTGTAATTGGTAAATGAATGTCCCCTTAGCTACAGAAATGAACATGAATATATAATAAAAGTTTGATTCATTATAACTAATTTACTATATTAAGAGATCCGTCATAACAATAAACACAAAATACAACTGCAGTCAATGTCAACCACAAAATTCTATTGAAATGTAATTGCATAGATTCCAGGCCAGACAGCAAAGTACCTTTAAAACTGTTACATGGCATCATGATATGTGATATGTGATGTTCCAATTTAAATGCTGATGCAATGGAGTCGGTGTAGTGTATTCTGTCAGTCAGTCAGTCATGAGCGTGTAACTACAGTGACATCAGTAAGTACAGAATTCAGATCATAAGTCTGAGATATCACAACAGTGTTGGAAAGAAATAAAACTTCAAGGCACCTGTCTCAACAGCACTCAGTCTTTGTAGCATATGTTACATAAGGTAACATATAGGGCTACGTTCAGGCCATGTTATACAGACAATGGTATCTGATCCAAAAAAAATGTTAGCTGTAACTTCACAAAATGAAGGCATTTTTATAACTTCTAAGTTATTACATGACATTAGTCCCAATGTTCTAATTTTGTAAAAAGAATACCGTGCATGATAAGAGAAGTTTTTAAACTTTAAATTAGTAATTAAATAACCAAATAACCTGTTTTACATTTACTAAATTCAGGGCAAAGGAAGAGGATATTGTGCTTGAGATGCCCTGTTTATGATGGGATGAATGAAAAATCAAATGAATGTAATTCTACTAAATTGAAGATTCGACTAATGCAGGAGATGATGCAGTTAAACATGTCAAACTTTTGGAATAGTTGTCAATGATGATAAGGAATAAAGCACTCTAGATGCAATGGCAGAGGAATTCATCTCTGATCTTGGATAGAATCCCTAGGTTTTGTGACGGGCCAACAGCCAGGCTGAAGATAATCAAACATGCAATTGTGGTAAAGATGAACATTGGTTTTAGAGGCAACAGCACATTTAAATATTTGGGGGAAAAGGGAGATGAGAGATTGAACAGTACTTTGCAAGACTGGGTGACTGAAGATGGATGATTAAAGGAGTAGTAATGCTGGTTTACAAAAGTGGTGCAATGCCTGAAGGAAAGGAACCATTTACAAGTCGTTAGCATAAGGCGATACAGGAAATTAGGAGATCAATAGTTTTGGAAATGGCATTGATTTACCTCTGAAAGGGGCATGAAGTCATAGAAGTGGAAAACTGGAAAAACAAACAAGACATCTAAATGAGTGGTCCTAATCTGGGGGCAAAACAATCTGCAGGCTAGTTATGCTTGTTATTGAAAATGAGGACGCTGTTGCTTAAGCAGATACACTTGCCAGTGGAGAGGAGGATGCTGAAGTTATCTCTGCTTTCCGGGGTAACTTTTAAGTATTGGATAGTTCTAGCAGAGTGAGACACAGCACTCGATGTGGTTCAGCCAAATCTAGCAATTGGTTATTAAATTTATTGTGAATCGAATATGTTCAAGTCTGTGCCCTGTGGTCCTGAAAGAGTGAAGATGGGGGACCATACCATATCTGAAATTCCCAGATCCATTAAA